ATTTTTGACGCGTCATCCTTGTTATTTTTTCGCTTTTTCGAAGGAACGGAATTCAGAAAGTCGATTTCCGAGAAAACCAAATCAGGAACTAAGAGCACATGTACATAAGCTTGTGCATGATATTGAAATACAATGTATATCTTATTTACCTCCTTTGGTGACAATTTTTTCAGATGCCTTTCCCTTATTAAAAATCCCTGGTTTTATATCTGTTCGAACCTGTGTTTTCAATAGAGACAAAGAGAAAACGACTAACTAATAAATAAGCCAGAAAGAGCATATCTAGATTGTAAAAACTCTGCACTTCAATCAAAGCATTTACCGTGACGCGATTTGTACCAAGTTTACAGGATGAAAACTTCTACATCATAAGCCAAGATTTCATGTGTCAACAGATTTTAAAGTTTTACCAAAACATTACAAATGATTGCATATCTTTACCTGCATAATTTGGGAGCTCGCAAGCAATGATTTATTTTTTTGACATCGTTTTCTCTTTTGAATGCGACTCTTCTTTCCAGCTCTTTCATTTTTGGGGGCCAAATCCGTGTCCATTCGAACATGATCGGTCTTTTTGATGTTTTCCCGGCTCGTGAGATCTCGGAATTCCAATTTTGATCGACGGGTCCGGTCTTGTGACGGATGTTGACTATGACATGAGCTCAATTTTTTTGCTTTCCGATCTAAAGGCGATCTTGAATTTTTTTCCCGCATATTTGACCTCGATATGAGAAGAGAACCTTTCAATGAGGGAAACCCGTGCTCAATAGAATGTCTAGAATGACCTGACATAGTTTCTTCAGTATCAGATTTTCGTGAAGGATTTTTATTTGATGGATCGTTCATCATTTTATTAGTATTTTCGTCTGTTAAAGGGATTTTTTGCTGAGATCGTGCAGTTACAAAAGAATCGGATGACAACGAATCTTTTCAATGTTTAACCAGGAATAAATTTTAACGAGCAATTAAAATGACTTGAAAATCGCTCAAGAAAAAAACAAGATTATGACACCACTTACCTTTATTATCTTCGTTATTCGCTTTCACACTTTGTACATTATCTGCATCAGTTATAGGAAAGGAGAACAGTTTCTGTTGTTTTTTAACATACTTGCTTACAAATTCTTTGTTTAAGACACGGGGGTCCCCATACGAATCCGTGTGTTCTTCTAAAGCCTGACGAGTAAGTCGTGCACGTCGTAGACACGTAACCATTATCGCTCCGCAAAAGGTATACCGCGCGTTTTACGCGTTTTGACGAGCACATGAAAGGTGTCCTATATAAATCCGAAAATCTATATTACGTATGTCATATTACGTATAATAATATTATTGTTTCGGACTTGCTGTATAAAACTACGATAATTGATATTTTATTACTCTGTGAATATTTGTATATAATTTTTATTTTGCAAATGCAACCATTACCATTCTATTCTATCTATAACTAATACGTACATATTCATGATTTCATTGCTTTCTAAGGATGAATTCGATTAATTCTATCCTACCATGTCATTCAAAAAGATTTTTATTGTTCAGCACTTTCTTCAACACATCGGCTTCCAACGGAATATAATAAATATTACACCCAAACTCTGATGTCCGAGTTTTAATGACATCATGATTGTGAAAATCATTCAGAAACATACGGAATTTACTATCACCATCTACCCAGAATTCTTCTCGGAGTTTATTATATAATAATCCATGTTCCATACCAGCGTCTTCGGGTTTGTTGGCACCACATTGGTACCGACTGATTTGATATGCGGCCAAGGTTTTAAACATCATTCTCCTGTTTACGATCCAGGATGACAATATACTTATGACCACACTCATGGTCAATCCTATTCTCCGCTTTTTAACTTTTAAATCTTCATAAATCGATTCCTCTTCATAAGGGCGAAATGTCGTGGCATCGTTCCAAATGAATTTGAATTTGGCATCACGATCACGATCGAAGAGAAGAGGTGCATTAACATTGTCAACTGAAGCGACAACAAAAATGTTGTGAGTAGATGCAAGAAGACCGAGAGTGTCTAGTATCTGTGTGTTACGAAGGCATGGTCCATCGAGATTATGAATCATTATGTACAAGCGTTCTGTTCTACGGTTCGGATTTAGAAAGTACCTTCGAATCAAGTCGGCATGTTTCTCGAATGTGCCACGTCGCGATCCAAGTTTTGGTTTCACTATGCCATCGAGAACAATCTTAAGGGCATCCTTAAACTTTAAGTTAGGTTCAAATCCATTAATCACTAATAGAGGTTGATCTTTGAAATGTATTTCAAAAAACTCCTCGAGAAGTCGTTTCTTTGATCCATATCCATAGAAGCAAAGGTTATACCCAGTCATAAGACTAATGTACCATCGATGAAATTGATACTTGTGTCTCTGATGAAGTGATTCAATTTCTCTTTTGTGCTTAACAGGAATGTTAC